TCTAAGTTGCTGTTGGGTTACCTAGGTAGGGCTCAAACTTGGCAGTCCTCTTGCTTCAGCCTCCCAAGCGCTGGGATGATAGGCATGTGCCACCACACCCAACCTTTGCTGTTCACTTTGAGGCCAAAAGCTATGTCTCTTTGGCAAGTATATTAGGAAAACAACAATGGAAAGCATATCCAGAGGAATGGTATGAGTACAAAAAGATGTCATCTTTGTTATCTCCCTTGAATGTACTGAGATAATCTCAAGTGTGAAATTGAAGATATAAAATACTTAGCCCATATATTCTAGACAGCACACAAAAGTAAGTAGGGGCAGAAGGATGTAGTTCATGTGCAAGGCCACAAGTCTAATCCCTAGCTATCATGTATACACAATGACTTTTGGCTGGATCTACGAGTGATATGCTTGAAACTATTTCCGGTAAGCATTTCTTGCCTGAATTGTCTACAGGAAACTCCTACCACAATGTTCCACTGCCCTGAGTCTCAACCTGAAAGTATTTCTATTAATAGAAAAATTTGGGGGCCTGCCCATTAGCTCAGTTGTTTAAGTGCCTGCTAAACAAAGCAGTCAGGCTCAAGATGCTCTGGTTCAAACCCAGTTTCTCACAGGAAACCAGAAATGCCCTCAAGGCAGCTTCAGGCCACCAAAAAAAAAAAAAGAAAAGAAAAAAAAAAAAGAAAAGAAAAATTTTGTTAGATAGAGGTGGTTCTAAAAGTGTATTAGATATTTCTTGGCAAAAGGTTTAAATATCAACTTGTCCATTATACTTAAATGAATTCCAAGTTGAACTTAACATTGGGTGCATGTGGGGGGGGGACCAACAAGATAAAAGTTTCACATATTAAGTAAACTTTTAAGAGCTATGATAAATCTATGAGGGGAAATTTTTAAAAAATGTATTACAAAGCTAGTCAGGGCTGATGGCACATGCCTGTTATCCCAGCACTTGGGAGGCTAAGGCACGACTGTAAGCCTGAACTACATAGTGAGTTCAAAATCAGACTAAACTACATAGAGCAAAGGGCCAGTGATGGAGTCCGGGCATGGTGGTGCAAGCCTGTAATCCCAGCACTACGGAGGCAGAAATCAGAAGGATCACTACAAGCCCGAGCTGCATAGTGAGACCTTGCACAAAAAGAAAGAAAGAAAGAAAGAAAGAAAGAAAGAAAGAAAGAAAGAAAGAAA